ACACCCTGCCTTGTAACAGTGGGTGCATTCATTACCCTCTCCACCTTCAGCATGACCCCAGGCCCTCGAGCAGCACTCCCTCCCTGGCCACTATCAATGCAGAGAACAGATATCAGCAAAGCACCTCCAGGTGCTTCCAATGAGGAGCCGCCCCATATCCTGTCGGTTATGTTGGGGGTCCAAAGCAGAAGGGATCAATACCTTAGAACCTCATAATGCACAAGGAAAACTGTGACCCAAAGTCCAGAATGTGGCAAGTGGCAGAGTAGGGATGTGAACCAAGGTCTGTGTGATGGTGAGCTCCCCGCACCCCTAAAAGTTGCTGCAGACTGGGGCTCCTGCAGTCATCTCCTTTCTTTTTCATACATAAAAAGGGCTTACTGAAAACATCAGCTTTTCTATGTTAAGGAATGGTCTGTGCTGAGGCTGGGCTGGGGATTAAGGGCTTGCAGACCCAGGAGGGACTGCCACAGCCACACTGTGTAGGAGGCAGGGACCAGGGGAAGTGGGCTTATGGTCAGTTGTTACACTACCCTTCCTCATTGGGAAATACAAACTGAGTACCCTTATCCAAACTGTGTGGGACCAAGAGTTTCAGATTCTGGATTTTTTTTTTCAGGTTTTGGGATATTTGCATACACATAATGAAGTATCTTGGGACAGGATCCAGATCTAAGCACTTCATTCAATTATGTTTCACAACACCTTATACAGTCATTTTATACATATTTGCAGGGCCGTGCATTCTGACTGTGACATGTCAGGAGACCAGGTGCAGAACAGTCCTCTTGGGGTGCCATGCAATGCTCAAGTTGCTCTGGATTCTGTAGCATTTCTGCTTTGTTTTGTTTTGTATCGGTACAGGGGATTGAACTTGGGTCCTTGCGCTTACGAGATAGGCAGCAGAACCACTGAGTCTCCGGCTCTGGAGCATTTCTTGTGCTCATGCTGGAATTCTTTGTTTAATAAGGAAGACTTTTATATTTTGTCTTCCAAAGGGTTTTTCTGTTAATACTTCAAAATGGTTTAGAATGACTGCAGAGGACAAAAGAATACCTACAAAACACTACGAATGTGCTTGGTCTCTCAGCTGGAGAAGTGAAGGCACAGGGCGGAATCTGGGATCTAAACAAAGATGCAGGTTCCAATTCTAGCTTCTTTATTTACTAGCCCCTTTGAGTACATTCCATAACTGCCTCAGTTATAAAATGGGAATACACAACAGTAGTTCCTTTGAGAATTACTATGAAAACTGGAGATAAAGCACTTAAGAGGTGGACAACAAAAAAGCATGTAAGATACTTAGCCCAATGCTGGTATAGTTTCTTGATAAAAATGATGAGTCTAAAAGGCCCACTTTTCTGACTGAGGACACCAATGCATAGGCTCTTCCAAATTTATGCTGCAATAACTATAAACAGTCTCTAAATTGTAGGCGAGAAAAAGCACATGGTATGTATACACACACACACACACACACATATATATGGTAAGTATATACTTATGCGTTTGCATATGCACTATTTCTTGAGCAGAGTTAGGTAACCAATACTCAGCTGCATCTAAGAGGCTTCACATAGAAGCTGTGCCTTCTGGCTCGGGGATTTAGCTCAGTGGTGCCGCTGCCTATCTCACAAGAGCAAGAACCTGAGTTCGATCCCCGGTACCAATAAACAAAACAAAACAAAACAGAAGCTATGCCTTCTGCTCACCTTCTGATCCTGTAGGCTGACTAAAGATATCTCTAAGCCCGCAAGTCAACCTTCAGAGCTTCCCAAACTAAGGAACAACCCTCGACCAAATGCAGGATGGCAGAGAGCTTCCTGACTGAGCAGGTTCATCAGCAAGCATCCCTGAGTATCTGTCACATTCCACACCTTCTTTCCCCACTCCCTACTCAGCTTTTATCCAACCACCCAGTCTTGTGCATTTTACCCCCAAAATATCTCTACGTCTTCCCACTTCCTCCATCTCCAGCCCAGTTTCTCACCTCGACTACTCCCAAAGCTTCCTAACTGTCTCTCCACGTTACTAGGCAGTGCCAGTGATGGCCTAGAGCCAACTGTTAAATAGGAGCCTGGCAAGAACAGGTTAACTGTTGGCAGCTTGGAATTGGCACTGGTGAGAATAACTTACCCTGTGGAAGTGGCCAGCACTGAAAATCAGGGCAGCTTTTTAGAAGCTGGCAAAAATTTTACAATGCTACTCAGTTCTTGGACCCCTTCTAATCTGTCTCTGCAATAAGAATGAACCTCCCTTCAAAACTTTCACGCCTCCAGCACCTCCCTACCTTTAGACCAAAGGAAAACTTCCTCAGCTTACAATGCCGAGGATTCCCTGCAGGATGACTTGCCTTCTATCTTGAGCCACCCAGCTCCCTGGCCCCCTCCAGTCCCACCAGCCCTTCAGTACTGGCCTCTTGAAGTGCCACTTTCTTGGGGATACCTTCCCACCCCAGAATAAGATCTCACAGCACTGGGTCCTCTCCTCAGTCACACTTATAAGTGGGAATGTCCATCTATAAATAATTAATTGGCTTTTTTCTCTTCTTCAAAATATAGTCACTAATACTTATGGATGGATTGTGTGATTTTTGTGCACCATATGTGTGTGTGTGTGTGTGTGTGTGTGTGTGT